AGTGAGCCCTCTAGTGTTGTACCAGTTAACTGTTATGTATTTACAAACACAGTAGTAAAGCTTTCTATTGTATGCAGGATCCCTGTAAAGTATTGAATACAATAGATTGCTGATCCAGGCACTGATGCGTCAGACGTGTATTACCATATGAAAGGCCCCACGCCCGAGTGGTGAAACAGAACCTATCAAGGCTATGAATCAGTCCTAGTTACTCAGCTACTGACCCGCAATTTTTAATATTTCATTGTAGTTCTAATCTGATTTGGTTTGATCCCGAACGGAAAGTCACAGACTACAGCATCCCGAAGAAGCCGGAGACTGTTACGTTGTACTTTGGCGTGCGCTGCTACATCGAGAGTATTACGCATCTTCAGGACAGTGGTACCATTGAACTGTTTTACCTTCAGGCGAAGGTTTCTATCTACAAGGTAAGTCTTGTATAACCTACTACTGTAACAGTCTCTGATCTAGCTCCTTAGTGGATAATTTTTCAGATGAGTTGGAATTGTGAATGGCAAGTGTTGTTGTTCATTGGGACTTGCAGTATGCAATTCTTAATTTACTTCCCTCCAATGTATGTGTGTGAGCTTGAATTACATTCATGTGTGGATATTTTACCTATTTGATAACCTTTCTTTATATTAGCAATGTGATCTATGCACCGGTAATTATGAGCATCACTACATAGTATAATGTTGCCGTAATATTCTGTCCATTACGGAAGCTCTTTCTCTCAACTCTTTCGCTAGAAAAATTTCAGAAATCAAATTGATCACATTTTGATTCCAACACTTGTCGTAACATTATTACTGAATCTTATTAAAAATGTTGTCATCTTCATCATTATCATCATCATTATCATCTTTATTTTTAATTCATTATCAACAACAGTTTAATTGTCACTGCTGTCACCTTATAGGCAAGACCTTATTTTATACCTTGTTTAATTGCAAACATACTTTTTTTTTTAAGAATGTTAGAGGAGGGTGGAAAAAATTATCGTCATCTGAATCATAACAGAATAAGATTTTTATACTCATTGTCATTAGCATCATCTTCATCATCTATATTACTATCACTGTTTCCAGTATTGCCATTATTATTATCACTATCTTCTGATTAAGTAATTATCATCATCTGAAATAAAACAGAACAGCATCTTTAACTCATCAATGTCATTAGAGTCATCTTCATCTATATTACCATCAACCGCTTCCAGTATTGCCTTCATAGTAATCACCATCTTCTGATTTAATGTAAGATAATTCTCATCTTTTTTCATCCCCCATCATAATTGTCAATCATCACCATAATCTTCATTATCATCGCTATTCATCAGTATCACTATCATAACAATCACTGCCATGATTTAAGCAGAACTGTCGTCATTTTCATCCACCTCCTCATAATAATAATAATAATAATAATATGTCGTTCTTATACAGCGCTTAATGCCTTTACAAAGCCTCTACCCTGGTCATTGGATCAAACACATTGAACACCAAATTAAATTATTAAATTAAATTATATTATTATTCCATAATATTGCGGCTAGTAATCAGCGCAGTTGTGTTGGAACCTACCAGGTACCCACTTGTACTCCTGGGTGGAGAGAGGCAACCGTAGATAAAGTGCATTGCCCAAGGACACAAGCGATTTGCACAGCCAGAGTTTCGAACCCCTGACCTCAAGGTTGGGAGTCAAAGCGCACCAACTTAATATCCTTCATCTTGTATTCATTATCTCCAATGTTGTCATCATCACCTCACCTTGTTTGCTTTTATATCCTTATCATAATTATCATGATCATCATCTCTATCTTCTGTTCATGATATCCAGTGTTGTCATCAATACTGCCGACGTCATGACGATCATTGATGCCGTCATTGTGATCATCGCCTCACCTTTGTTTGCTTCAGTTTACCGGCCCATGAAGCACAGATGTTGAATATTTACTAAGCTTTTAAAAATGCGAATTATTGAATACTTGCATGAATACCCGACATATAGAATTTCAAATACATATTGCACAGTGTAAATCAGGACCTGTGGTGACCTAAGAACTACTTACTGTGTACAGTAATATGCTAAACGAACATGTACTTAGACTTGCAGTAAGCATTTTACTACAGCATAGTCCTTATGGTAAAGATGTCAATGGTATATTATTACAGTAGTGTACACTCATCATCGTCATGGTAGTCATAATTTTAACTACTTACTATGTAGAGTAAAGCCAAAACAACATGTACTTAGACTTACAGTAAGCATTATACTACAGTATAGCCCTTATGGTAAAAATGTCACCCTCATCATCTTCATGGTAATCATAATTTTAACTACTTACTATGTAGAGTAATGCCAAAACAACCTGTACTTAGACTTACAGTAAGCATTTTACAACAGTATAGCCCTTATGGTAAAAATGTGATTGGTATATTAGCGTACCCTCATCATCGTCATGGTAATCATAATTTTAACTACTTACTATGTAGAGTAAAGCCAAACGAACATGTACTTAGACTTACAGTAAGCATTATACAACAGTATAGCCCTTATGGTAAAGATGTCAATGGTATTAGCGTAACCTCATCATCGTCATTGTCATCATAATTTGAACTTTATCTTTATCAATAGTAATAATCATCATTGTTAATATCAGCAATCATAATTATATCAAACATCATCATCAACAACAATCATAATTGTATAATCATAATAATAATCATCAGTTATCATAATTTTAATTTGATCAATAATTATTAATATCACCGTCATAATATTGTCATTTTCATTATCTTTGCATTATTGCCATCACCATTGTCACCATCATGGCCATCAACAATCATAATCATTGAACAATAACAGTTTAATATCATCATCATCACATTTTTCCTCATTGCCGTACATTCTTCAATATTAAAAACCCATGAGAGATTAATATCAAGCAATGAATTATACAGTAATAGTAATTAATGTAATGATATTGACATTTATAAATAGTCTTCTAACCTAAAGGTATTGCAATAGCAGCTGGAATTGCACATTATTTATTAAATCAAAACATAAATTATTCATATTCATATACAACATATTCATAAACAAGCTGTAGGTGAAAGCGCTTGGCTCGACGGTTGTACCAACCACTGAAGCGTTTAGAAATGAATGTGTACAATATGGTTCATCATATAGTTTTCTATTTATATACTGCATGTGCTGTAATAGGCCTACAGTGGTATGTCACTCCGGCTAAAAATAGTTACTAGTATATTTGGGTTGTCTTTCTTGATGTTGCTCTGTCAATCCTAAGAAGGCTAGATTTTCAATCAGTTTTGGTCCTGCAGCTTTCAGGCTGTTAAATGGGAAATTCTAGATGCAGTTGATGATGTGATATTTTTTTTACATGAATGTGTCTTGAGGTTTTTTAATTCTAATTGTAACAGCAAACTGAATGTTATAGAGAACTTAACCTTGAAAAATGTAATATTATAATATTTTTTATTTATTTATTTCTGTCTTTAATGTAATGGCATCTCCTGTGATAAAGCTCTGAGTATCTATCAGTGGTGGACAGAGGGACATGTCCACCCCCTCCCAACTCACTTTTTGAAGTGGGAGGGGTATCACATTGGTACCAGCTACTCTCGTCTGTCATATATCAATTGACCCCTTCCCCACCCCTCTCCAACTATTTACCATTCTTCTATAGTTAAAACCTACTTTTTAAAGCGAGTTGAAGAAAGGGGGAAGGATAACAACAATTATGAATGACTATCTCATTCAAAAACCTAACATGAGCTAATAAGTAGATAATAAATTTTAAAAAATCAATATTTTCACCCTTGTTTAGATGCAGTAATCATAATAATTCGTAATAGAGTCAATATCAACAATTTATAATAATAATAATAATTAGTTTTTATATAGCGCAAATTTTAGATGCAGTAATCATAATTCGAAATAAAGTCAATATCAACAATTTATAATAATACAATAATAATAATAATAATAATCAGTTTTTATGTAGCGCAAATTACAATTAAGTCTCTAAGCACTTTAGCTTCTTAATAAATTAGTGAGTTTTGAGACGTATCCACTACATTCTTTGGTAGCTGATTCCAAATCTTGGGCACTGCATGTTGAAAGGATCGCTCTCCATATGATTTGGTTGAAACTTAAAAATGATTGAGAAGCAGTTTTGTGCTAGAGCGAAGTTGTCTTGAGGGAATGTATTTATTAATAAAAAGACAATAAAAAAATAACTAAATATTAAGAACTAGAATAAAATTTTAAAACAGAGGTGTCCCGGTCCTTTAGTTTGTTTTTATATCCTTAATTGAGTATTATTACATTGATTGAACCGCCCTGGTATTTGGTAAAATTTCTGAATAGAGGCCTTAACCATTAGTGAAAAACACTAAAAGTTAAGTACAGTCTTTCTGGCTTATTACAGGAACTCTGGTAAGCTATCCTGTAATAATAACACCATAGTAAGTTGATAATCCGCACGATTGTCCTCGCTTTTTTGTTCTCATACTACATGGCTAGCATTTCAATTTTTCCCCTCTAAGGATTTTAAAAGCCTTTGCTTGAAGGATTTATTAGGTTTGGTAGACTGAATGGACAATTGTTGTCTGATTTCCAGCAATTAAATGATTATAACTAAAGATCGGTGAATTGATGGCGCAGACTCATTCATACCCAAATTATCACCATTCATATCAAGTAATTATATGACCTTATTGGGTGTGAAAATCACTCCGAAAACAAATTATTCTTGGGAGTTTTATGTCACAATATACAGTATTGTAGCTTTTCCTGAATTAAGTCATTTTTATAAATTTTGCAAAGAGCTTAAAATGGTAGAATGCAAAACTAGTTAGAATGACTAGTTAAGTAAATATATAATTAATATGATAATACAATAATAATAATAATAATAATAATAAGAATAATAAGAATAATTATAATAATCAGTTAAATTACAATTTAATTTGCAAATTACAATTAAGTCTCTTAAGCACTTTAGCTTCTTAACAAATTGGTGAGTTTTGAGAGTATTTTCAATTGTTCAAGTGATGTGCAATCTACTACATTCTTTGGTAGCTGATTCCAAATCTTGGGCACCGCATGTTGAAAGGATCGCTCTCCATTGGATATGGTTGAAACTTTAAAACGATTGAGAAGCAGTTTTGTGCTAGAGCGAAGTTGTCTTGAGGGAATGTATTTATTAATAAAAAGACAATAAAAAAATATCTAAATATTAAGAACTAGAATAAAATTTTAAAACAGAGGTGTCCTTTAGTTTGTTTTTATATCCTTAATTGAGTATTATTACATTGATTAAACCGCCCTGGTATTTGGTAAAATTACTGAATAGTGAAAAACACTAAACGTTATGTACAGTCTTTTTGGCTTATTACAAGAA